AAGAGTAACACAATGTGGAGGAATTAACAGACTGGTAAGTAGAAAAGACACTAGACGAACCGGTCATGTGGTCAGAGGCATTGAAGTTTATAATCCAAGGACTACCAGTGGAGGACAATAAACAAATGAAAGCAGTACCTGACTGGGTAAATGTGGCAGTGGAGAAGGATGAAACAACCTGCTATTGGGACAAGAGCTGAGCATACTCCTCGCGGGTAAGTGTAACAGACCCAGAGTTAGGTGGAGCTGGACGTGATTGGGAGGAAGTATCATCCTTATAAGAGGCCTGATTAGCAATGTACGAAGGCTTTACATGTAAATCCAACAATAATCAACGACGTGTTCTCCACGACCACAATGAGTGCACACACATGAACTAGATCGACCACCACGACCTCCAATACAGCCTCCCCGTCCTCCACAACCACCATAGTTTTCACAACCACCTCGTGAACTATCATTATGGCTAGTAGGCACAACAAGTGATGAGCAATCATGAGGTAAACTGCGGTCAACACCAGAAGTCCCAGTAGACAATGTAACACGCTGTAAACTAGAGAAAATCTCAAGCCGAGATGAGTCTGTGAACGAACAACCTCATATTCAAGCTTCAATCCCATTAAGAAACGAACAACATTCATATTTTCATAATACTTCTACCACAATATAACATCAGTGGTGAACGGGTGGTAAAGCTTCAGTTCTTCATAAACTCCTGTAACATGCTTAGATTGTCTTGGTCTAAACAAAAATAATGTTGACCCACCTCATATGCACGAGTAAAATTACCTGTGCCCAAATACATAATGGCCAAGTGGTCCCAAATTTCTTTATTCATGTCAAGATAAAGTAAAGTGGAGCTAATACTAGCTTCAATACTATTCACTAATAAAGATATAATCTGAGCATCTGTCTGTTCCCACTTATCATACCCAGGAGTACTTTCCTTGGGTTTAGGGTCCACAAAATATTTCTTGAGGTCTTTACCTTTCAGAAATACTGGGACTGATCGTGATCATTAAACATAATTAGTCCCATTAAATTTGAGTAACGTCAGAGGACCATTAAATAGAACAATTGAAGACAAACAAGGTGGCACAAGAGAAGTAACAACTAATATGCCATCATTCTTGGATTCCATTGCCATAGGGGGCTGAACAGTGCGAAAAAGAAATTGAATCAGGCAAAATAGTGTTGGATGGCTGAACTGGACAAGTGAAGCTTGTTGGATCACTGAACCGGCCGAGAAGAACTTACTGGACCGCTGAACCGAACAAGGGAGGTTAGATATACTGCTGAACCAGACAGAAGAGGTTCACTGGACTATTGAACTGAAGGAAAAACTTTGTTGGACCGCTAAACCGGACAGACGAGGTTCATTGGACCACTGAACTAGAGGAATTGATAGAACCAATCTGAACCGGTGCAAGACTGACTGAACCGGGATTGAACTAGTATTGGATCGGGATTAAATCGGACTTGGATAGGTTTGGTCTAAAGTTTGCTGGATCTGGGTTGGATTTGGATTTGGATCTAGATCTAGATTCAGATTGGGCTTGAGGCTAGTTTAAGACCGTGGACTTAGACCCGTTACCCAAACCCACAACCCACCTGTGTGGGTCATCTTCTTCACTAACTAGGGTTTCAACCAAACCCTACTCCTTTTCTTTGATGTCGATGACGCCACACTAGTTGACGTTACCAAGGAACCCCAGCGGCTAGACTACCAAAGAAGCCACCGAAAGCCACACAAGTTGACGGGGTCTCACACCCACCATTGACTACACTATCACAATGACGAGGAACGTCGACAACAACACCACCACCAGCACCATAAACAACATCAATACTAAGATCAATTGAACAAAGAACCACTGAAACCACCATCGATTTCACTCCAAAGCTGCACCGTTGGGAATGCAAAGGTTTAATGCAAATCCATTCAACATCGGCGGACTTAGTGAAGACGCGAAATAGAGAAAAAGGAAAGAAGAATGCAAGAAAAGAAAAGAATAGAAAAGAAAAAAAAAAGAAAAATGGGAAAAGAAAAAAAAGATTAATAGGAGTTTANATTGAACAAAGAACCACTGAAACCACCATCGATTTCACTCCAAAGCTGCAACGTTGGGAATGCAAAGGTTTAATGCAAATCCATTCAACATCGGCGGACTTAGTGAAGACGCGAAATAGAGAAAAAGGAAAGAAGAGAAAATAAAAGAAAAGAAGAGAAAAGAAAAAAAAAAGAAAAATGGGAAAAGAAAAAAAAGATTAATAGGAGTTTAGAACTAACCTTGTTTTGATACCATATTAAGTTTAGAGAGAAGTTTAACACAATATGAGAGAGGAAAAGAGAGGTTTTGCCTTACCTTACTTCTCACTATTAATCTTATATTTATAGTTACTGAAAAATGAAACAAAATACGAGTATACCCTTAGTGAGGTATACATATTACGATAAACATAAACCCAAATTAACGTAACCCTAATTATATTATAGAAGTTTTCTCAACAGTCTTGTTACTGGAGTTGTGGTCCCTGACATCTTTATGCACCACTACTAACTGGTTGTAGTACGTGAGTCATCTCCATTACCGATGAGTTTTTGTTCATTAGAATTGTCAGGTAATGTCCCATTGTCTCCTGTCCACTTGTCATGTTGCAAATCTCGCAGACTAACCTGGTGTCATGCTCCCATTCCTAGAGTTGGTACTTATACCAGGCTCGTTAACGTCGAGCTAGCACCTTTTCCAAGATTTTTTGCATTGGGCCTACATGGAATTGGGTTGTGGTCTAGTTCGAGCCCAATGAATGCTGTTTAGATGAGATGCTTGGGCCACCTTCTTTGAGCCTAGAGGATTTTCAGCTCTAGAGGGGGTTCAGACTTAAATCCATCATCATTAGTTACTCCTCAGCCCCAGGTCAAAAAGATGACCTTCTACCTTTGTCTTGGGGTTAAAATCGAATTTTTTGCTACAATGATAACCCTATGGATGACAATTCCTCATAATTACTAGCGTTGTTCCAATAGCGTGTTCAGTTCCCCTATACTTGTTATGATGTGATAGACGTGTCAGGAGAGGATATGCGTTACGGGGAGAGGGCTTCTTTGGTACGATTCTTTCCCACGTCTCATTGTGGTAATAAATGTTATATAAAGGGGAGAATGCCCTTTACCTTTTCACTATTATTTCAAATATTTGACTTTTCGCACTCCTTTCCCTCTTTCTAGATTCTAAGGCGGTTGCTTCGTTCCTCTGATAATTTTGAGAACTTTATGCTTTCGCTCTTCTACAAAGTGCTCTTAACTATTCATTAGGTACGTACCCATTCTCTTTCTTTTGCTTTGGATCCCTTTAACCCCTGCTAGTGGGGTCGTGGTTCCCATTTCGATATTTGGAGATTTAGTTACTTTTGACGTCATTCCGGCAGTTTTGTTTTTGATGTGCACTTTGTAGATTACCTTTCCTGTTGAGGTTAACCTTGATCAGATCATGGTATTTAGTTCCACTATTTTTAACTGATTGTGTTTTGTATCTGCCTTCTTTGCATTCCGGGTTATGATTTGAAGTCCTAATAGGGTGATTCATATTTGATACTTCTTTTTGATCTTGTGTCTGAAGAGGAAAGTAGTAAGAGTGTTGAGGGGGTTTCGGCCTCCCATAGTAGTGATCGTCCTGAACAGGCCTCATTCCTTCTAATGGTGAGGAGCCCTCTGTCGACGACTCTGTTCCAATTAAGGGCGGCCAATTGTCGTTGGTTTTGGCAAAGAGATTTCAGTTTTATCCTAGGGTGTCAGATTTGGAGGATCCTGGGTCGATTCCTGTGACCTCAACCTTAAGTCAATCCAAAGAGCCTCCGTTGGGTTTGCCCTCAGCTATCTCTAGCCATGCAAAGAAAAGGGGGTCAAAAAGGGTTCCAGTTTCCTCTAGCCCTAACAGGAAAAAGATTCGGCGAGACATTTTTGATCTTACTTGCTGTGCTGAGTCGTCTTTGAGTCATATCGACAAAGACGACTTGGAGGCCCTGAGGGAGAAGTACTCATTTTCAACTTCTATTCTGCTCTATTGTCTCGAAGAGGATGAGAGATGCAAGTCTTCTATTCTTGGGATGACCTGTTTTTTCACCTCGGCGTTTCAAGCTGGCCTCAGACTTCTTGTTCATCCCTTCATTCGAGATGTCCTCACCTTATATAATGTGTGTCTATCTTGGGTTTCCCCCAATTGTTGGGGCTTGTTGGTTGGTCTTCTTGATCACTGGCGCAATAGTGGAAACACTTCTCCACCCACAATTTGTGAGTTTGACCACCTTTTCCAGCTTAAGCCTTCTCCTGCTCTAGGCTTTTTCTATTTTGCCAAGCAGATTAAGGTAAACAGTTTGATTTCTGGGTTTCCTTCTTCCAATTAGGGGTGAAAATCAAAGTTCTTCTTTGTCCAAGATGATTCCTGAGAGTTGTCGGCAACATCTAGTGATATTCCATGCGTTTCCAATTTTGGGGGTTTCCGTGGAACACACGTTAAAACGACATTTGAAGATTTGCCTATTAAATATGTACTTATCATAAGTAATGTGTAGTTGTTGATTCTAAAAATAATAAAACAAAACATTAAAATAATAAGTTCTTACATATGCCAAATTCAGATTGGACAAAAGATGGAGATATGAGAGTGGGAAACAAAAATGTTATGTTGATTAAGATTTTTTATCAAGTTTCTTATGTCAATTGATGTGACACAATTTTTATTATCAAATAAATGAGTCATATTAATATTCAATAATGAAGATTGTGTCACATCAACTACAATACCAAATTTAGTAAAAAATTTAATAAACATAACATTGAAAAATTCATTTTCTCAATGCCATATTCAAACCATGCGTTCTAATTATTCACTTACCACATGGCACAAAGTGACTAGCAAACCCACATATCCTTGTGTATACTCCGGTCCATTTGATTCAGCCTCATTGTCAACTCTTCACTAATGTCACCAGATGCAAAAAAAGTCAACATTTTGGGAGAAAACCAGAAACTAGATTGAGGCAAGGCGACTGTGGGTTGCAGCAGTTTTACAGAAAGAAAAACCAAAACAATGAAAGCTAATGGTTTTCTGCTCCATGGTTTTGGTGTCTCATTGTTATATATATACCTGTACATTCAAACCCATCTCTCCACAATCAAAGAGAATTCCATTTCGCAGAAACATAGAGAGAGAAGAGAAAGCTAAAACATGTCAAGCTCAAGCACAGCTGGTCAGGTTATTCGTTGTAGAGGTACTTTTGGCTCTTCAATCATTCTCTTCTAAATTTCGTGACATTCTTTGAACTGACATCACTCCCTTCTGTCCCATTCATTGTTGAGAATTCTCTGTTTCCACCAGGTGTTATGTTTGATCATTGATGGGTTTTGATTTGGTCTTGCTTTTTTGTTATTTTTGCGGTGGTGTTGTTTGATTAATTTGATAAATCCCAAGTGGGTTTTCTGTTTTGCTTTGATTTTAGTTTGCATATCCTCTTAATTTACTTTCCCCCCCATAATTCTAATGGTTCATGTACTAGATTTTGTGTTTAAACCTGTTTATGGCAGGGGTTTTCACGACATTGAAATTGGCTGATTGTTATTAAATTCCACTCTGTTTATGGTTGTTTTATGGTTTGGGCTTTGCAACCATCGAAGTATTAAGTTATCGGAGAAAATTATGATTTTCAGAGCAACAAACTTTACCTTGGGCAAATGGGTTTTTTATGTGATATGGCTAATAATCAAACTTCGTGGTTCTAAAGAAAAATTAGTGCATTGGATTATGGATCTGTCCTAATGTGTAATTGAAAAGCTTCAGAATTTCTTCTTGTTCAGTCTAATTTGTTGTTTGCTTTGGTAAATCCATTTCTTTGTCACGGAATATTATGCATAGCAATGGTATATTTCTTATATCTGTTGTTGATTCACCTGATTTTTTTTCGAATTGATAAAATGTATTGTATGCACATTCAGCTGCGGTAGCATGGGAAGCAGGAAAGCCACTGGTGATAGAAGAAGTGGAGGTGGCACCACCGCAGGCACTGGAAGTTCGTCTGAAGATCCTTTTTACCTCCCTCTGCCACACTGATGTTTACTTCTGGGAAGCCAAGGTAATTAATTATAACTTGAGTAACTTTGTTTCATCAAACCCGTTTAACTAGGTCCTGCTCGTGTAATGTACGAGTACGTATGTATTGCGAAGTTGTTCTGAAGTCGTCATCAACACGTAATATCACCACCAAATTGTAAGTCAAGTCGGACATAGTGAACCCCGCATAATCCAATAATTACCATGTTTATGCATGGGGTTCAGCAGTTCATATGCTGGTTTCTCTTTGGAAAGTTTATACACCGCATGTCACTGGTGACATGGTATCACCATTATGACAAATATTTCATCCAAATGAAAAACATATATTGCAATACTAGTTGTGTTGGGAAAATAGGTTTTCCCACAAGTGTAAATCAATGGAAGCAATATAANAAGAGGATTTGTTGTGATAAATTCTCCAGTTGTGTACTATACCTGGTTACTTAATATAAACTTGGGAATTGATTTGCAGGGACAGACACCGTTATTTCCTCGCATCTTTGGACATGAAGCTGGCGGGTATGAACACTTTGAGAAAGAAAAAGAAAATTACTGTAATTTCAATCTTTTACGATTAAATGTCTTTGAACTGCATTTCCTAGATCCCTATTAATGGGGGCTAAAATGGGTGTTGTTCTTGTATATTATTCATTCAAGGATATATTGACGTTTGTATTTTCTGTTGTGGTTGTTAGGATTGTAGAGAGTGTTGGGGAGGGTGTGACAGATCTCAAACCGGGTGATCATGTGCTTCCTGTTTTCACTGGGGAGTGCAAGGAATGCCAACATTGCAAGTCAGAAGAGAGTAACATGTGTGATCTCCTTAGGATAAACACCGACCGGGGAATAATGCTCAATGATGGCAAGACGAGGTTCTCAATTAATGGCAAACCCATTTATCATTTTGTTGGCACTTCCACCTTCAGTGAGTATACTGTGGTTCATGTTGGTTGTGTTGCCAAGATCAACCCTGCTGCACCACTCGACAAAGTTTGTGTTCTTAGCTGTGGAATCTCCACCGGTTGGTGTTTTTTTATATGTTTCATTACTTTCCTAAAAACACTTGAATATTCATTCTTTAATTAAAGAGAATTGGGCTTTGTGTTAAAGGTCTTGGTGCTACCTTGAATGTCGCAAAACCAAAAAAAGGTTCGACAGTAGCCATCTTTGGATTGGGAGCTGTTGGCCTTGCTGTGAGTTCTTCTCCCCTTATAAAAGCATAAATAAATAAAACACTGCTCTTATTTTGTCTTTCTTATTTCGGATGCTTACATATTGTTGCGTTGTTGCATGACAGGCTGCTGAAGGGGCTAGAATTGCTGGTGCTTCAAGAATCATTGGGGTGGATTTGAACTCTAACAGATTTCATGAAGGTGAGTGATGCAGTTAGAAAATTGGTATAGGCACTATATAATCCCTAAACCAATTTTCTGTCCTTGCATACCTTTCAAATGAAATTTGAAATTTAACTTGTATTCAACGTGGCGCGGTGTTAATGTTGGATAGCTCGTATATGGCTTCTAAGTTGCACCATCCACCTACCCCATTCTTAAAGTAAAGACAGAAAAGGATGTGGTTTTAATTTACTTTTGATTGCTCTCTGATAATTCGTTTCCTCTTATGCTAACAGCCAAGAAATTTGGCATCACCGAGTTTGTGAATCCAAAAGACCATGACAAGCCTGTTCAAGAGGTATTTATACACATGTTTTCTAGTAATTTGTAGTTTTCTCACATAGAAACCTTAATATTGATATGTCTGTCTTTTCAGGTGATTGCCGACATGACTGGTGGGGGTGTCGACCGAAGTGTGGAGTGTACTGGAAGTATCAATGCAATGATATCTGCATTTGAGTGTGTTCATGATGTAATTTTCTCTGAACTATTCATTCGATTTGTATGAAGTTTATCATTGACAAATTTTATGTTCCCAAACCTTCATCCTTTCGTCCAGGGATGGGGTGTTGCTGTACTTGTCGGCGTGCCAAACAAAGACGATGCATTCAAAACCCATCCAATGAATGTTTTGAATGAAAGGACTCTCAAAGGTACCTTTTTTGGCAACTACAAACCCCGCACTGACCTTCCAGCTGTGGTGGAAAAATACATGAGCAAGGTAAGCTGCATCGCTACCAATTCAGCTAGCTTTTGTTTGAAATTGTATTACTTTGCACATAGAATTTCCAAGAACTCTGAACTACATCTATGGACACAAAAGCTATCAATCTTAATAAAGAACCCTAACAGTCAACAAGATCTTAATTGCTCTTAATCAGATTTTTTCTTTCTTTGCTGAACACATGGTGTGGGGATCCCATGTAGTCAACAATTAATCATGGCCGAATATGGAAATGAATCAGCATTGTCGCTTCCTCTTAAAGAAACATATGGTAGTACTGTCATCCTTACGGTTTTAATGTTGAGCAGGAGCTTGAACTGGAGAAATTCATCACCCATGAAGTCCCTTTCTCGGAGATCAACAAAGCCTTCGAATACATGCTAAAAGGAGACGGCCTTCGATGCATAATCCGTATGGATGGTTAGAGCAAAGAAGAATTCAAGACTACGCGGTCTATGATGAGTGTAAAATGAAACAGTGAAATNTGTGAGTTCTTCTCCCCTTATAAAAGCATAAATAAATAAAACACTGCTCTTATTTTGTCTTTCTTATTTCGGATGCTTACATATTGTTGCGTTGTTGCATGACAGGCTGCTGAAGGGGCTAGAATTGCTGGTGCTTCAAGAATCATTGGGGTGGATTTGAACTCTAACAGATTTCATGAAGGTGAGTGATGCAGTTAGAAAATTGGAATAGGCACTATATAATCCCTATACCAATTTTCTGTCCTTGCATACCTTTCAAATGAAATTTGAGATTGAACTTGTATTCATATGTGGATACCTATGTCAACTATTGAGAGTTAAATACTAGATAGGGGTATCTTTTGTCAACTACTGAGTGTTATATGAGTACTGAGTTCTTAGACATAGCTAGAAACGTGGCGCGGTGTTAATGTTGGATAGCTCGTATATGGCTTCTAAGTTGCAACACATCCACCTACCCCATTCTTAAAGCAAAGACAGAAAAGGATGTGGTTTTAATTTACTTTTGATTGCTCTCTGATAATTCGTTTCCTCCTATGCTAACAGCCAAGAAATTTGGCATCACCGAGTTTGTGAATCCAAAAGACCATGACAAGCCTGTTCAAGAGGTATTTATACACATGTTTTCTAGTAATTTGTAGTTTTCTCACATAGAAGCCTTAATATTGATATGTCTGTCTTTTCAGGTGATTGCCGACATGACTGGTGGGGGTGTCGACCGAAGTGTGGAGTGTACTGGAAGTATCAATGCAATGATATCTGCATTTGAGTGTGTTCATGATGTAATTTTCTCTGAACTATTCATTCGATTTGTATGAAGTTTATCATTGACAAATTTTATGTTCCCAAACCTTCATCCTTTCGTCCAGGGATGGGGTGTTGCTGTACTTGTCGGCGTGCCAAACAAAGACGATGCATTCAAAACCCATCCAATGAATGTTTTGAATGAAAGGACTCTCAAAGGTACCTTTTTTGGCAACTACAAACCCCGCACTGACCTTCCAGCTGTGGTGGAAAAATACATGAGCAAGGTAAGCTGCATCGCTACCAATTCAGCTAGCTTTTGTTTGAAATTGTATTACTTTGCACATAGAATTTCCAAGAACTCTGAACTACATCTATGGACACAAAAGCTATCAATCTTAATAAAGAACCCTAACAGTCAACAAGATCTTAATTGCTCTTAATCAGATTTTTTCTTTCTTTGCTGAACACATGGTGTGGGGATCCCATGTAGTCAACAATTAATCATGGCCGAATATGGAAATGAATCAGCATTGTCGCTTCCTCTTAAAGAAACATATGGTAGTACTGTCATCCTTACGGTTTTAATGTTGAGCAGGAGCTTGAACTGGAGAAATTCATCACCCATGAAGTCCCTTTCTCGGAGATCAACAAAGCCTTCGAATACATGCTAAAAGGAGACGGCCTTCGATGCATAATCCGTATGGATGGTTAGAGCAAAGAAGAATTCAAGACTACGCGGTCTATGATGAGTGTAAAATGAAACAGTGAAATTGTGATGAGGGATTGTGTGTGGCCTTTTTACTTTCTTTCGTATGTGACTTTCTTGTGCTTTGTATATGAACAGAATAAGATGCCTTGTGTGTACAAAGATTCATTCGAGTTGCTGTTGGTTTTGATATGGCTTCAGTGTCTTTATCTTTTGTTTCTTTCAATGCTGCCTTGAGATCTGCAGGGATAACTAATTAGTTACACAGTTTAGATCAATGAACTGGTTTTCTATTCTATCCCGTTAATTTTATTTTCACAACCTGTATCCTAGTCCATTAAAAGTTAAATATTCTATTTGTTAAAAGTGATTGTCCAGTCCAAATATCTGATTCAATTCGAATAATTTCTATTGAGCTGAAATTTAGGTCAATTCTATCAAAAACTACTAAATTACATGATATAATTTTATATGTATGACTCGGACTGAATCAAACAACCAAGTTTTTTATAATTTTAGTCCAACTTTGGAGAAACTGAAACAATCAATTACCAGTTCTTCCATTTTTTTTTTCCCTTTTGATTTTTTCTTGGCATCTACACACCCAGCACCGGTGGCGGGTGAGTTAGATTCTTAGTATCTACACTATGAATCATATTCGAATAAGATGTACAATAAACAATCTGCAGAATTAATCTCATTTAGAAGGAGACGAGGGAAGGGGTTGGGGGGATGAAATGAGGAGTACTACTTGTGGGTGAAGGGAAGCGGATTAGTGAAAAAAACACATGAGTTGGCTTGTCTGATATAGTGTCCTCTATAGATAAAATTAACACTGAAAAAATATAAATTTGATAAAAAAAGAAGATAATAAATTACCTTCAAACCTTTTATCCTTGGAATATGATGGTTAGACCCAATAATGTTGGGGCAAGTGTCACAAAAACACAAATGCCTATCATCAGTATTCATTAATATGACCATTAGAATTTAATAATGTCATGATAATATGCAAACATAATTGGAACTCAAGTTTGGGTGTGGCTTGAGTTTGATAAGATTTTTGGGTTTGGAATGAATTAATTATTTGTTGTTTTCTTTTTTGGGTTTTGTGAAAATTAAAATGATAACGTTAGGAGTCATTTGTGTCTATCAAATTTTGAGAATAAAAATAAAAAACATGTTTGGTAACTACTTCAAGTTTTATCCTAAATATGTTTTATAATACCTCATACAACAAAAATCAAATCCAAAAATTCCTTAACCCAAAACATCCATTAATTCATCAAACAACACCTGAAGAAAGATAATTAGATTACATAAATCATTAATCACATTCATACATAATATTGTTTAACATACAACCAAATACACACATCAATAAGTCATATCACTTAACTAAAATTTCAATAATTAGTACAAATACCACATACAATAATGCATAAATAAAGATCAAATTAAAACCACAACAAGTAAGCATGAACATAGTGATCTATTTCTTCTCTCTCCATCTTGACTGAGCTTGAGGAATCACATGATTTTCATTTGTAATTGCGTTGTACTCATCAACCTATATGAAACAATTATCATGCTCACGTCATTGTGGACAACGATAAAAAGTTCGTCATTGTTTCTTTTGGTCCTTGCAACCAAAATATTCATGTTCCCAGATCCACATGAGCATAGAGGGCCAACACGCGCCATTATAACACTTAATTACATTAACATTTACGAGTAAAAATTAGTCTTATAAGCATTAAATGCAATATAACAATGCAAGTATCGACGCATTTTTACCATCATAATAAATAATAATATTAGGACATGTATCAATGGTGATTTGTTGCCCATAATTGATTAGCAAATTGTATCTCTAACACGAGCCATTTGATGCAGCTGACTCGGACTTAGGTCTAATTTAATTGGGACCTGTGAACTTGATCCAACAACAGTTCTTTCATTATCAACAAATTTTCTTCTTTGCCATTCATCAAATAACTGATCTTACGAGAATGCATTCTTATGAAGTTATGATCTGTACAACATGCTGTGGAAATGTATTTCTGTGTTTTTAAGGGATGGAAGCATCAACTTCAAAATGGGAAAACGAGCCTTTAGAACTCCAAAGCAATGTTCTATCACATTCTGAAGTGAAAAGTGACGATGATTGAATAGTTCTTCTTTATTAGTTGGTTGTTGACCCCTACCTCTGTACTCACGCAGGTAATATCTCTCACCACGATACGGGGACTAAAACTAGGCATGTTTGTGTAGCTCGAATCTAGAACATAGTATTTACCTATCAAAATTTATAAATGTGAGATACATTGTCTAGTTTTATGTATAAGTATTATAAATTCCATGATTACGCTTACCCTCTGGCGGCATTGGAAACTTATTGGCTGGATTAGCAACACACTCAGCAAATATTCTTGAGTCATAAGCAGTACCCAACCACCCACTCATCACAAACATAAAGTGCATATCAAAGGAACATGCACATATTACATTTTGAGTTGGTACAACACACTTTCTACGGAATGGTATCTAGGAATTCGCTGAAACATGTGCAGCAATGTGAATTCCATCAATGGCGTCAACACAATTCTTCAAAGACAAAAACACATGAATGACATTGAAAGTAGTATTTTGTTATGACATATATTTCAAATTACTGTCACTTACCTTAAAGAAAGGGTAATATCTTAAGTTGAAAAAAATTTGAGGTTGAATCATACTAAAATTGGGAAGGCTAATGATATCAACTCTAAGCCTACAAACTGCTTTCAAAACACGACTAAAGTATTTGGAAATGGTCTCTCCTGAATGCAGAAACTTTTCAGCTACTATGCGATTTCGCTTATTATATAATATTGTTAGTAAAAATATAGCAACTTGCTCTTATACGGTTACAAACCTGGAGTGTTTCAACCCTTTTTCTTTTAATGCCTCACAAAACAGCACGAGTGTGTCCATTCTAAATAGCTCATAACACCTATTATCATGTCCATGAAATAGCTCCAACACGTAATCATGGCCTGTAAGAGTAGACATTCTACATGGTTGTTGTGATGTATTTTGACTATCTAATTCTATTGCAGTCAATACAAAAGACATCTCATCATCACTATCTAATATCATATCCAATTCTTCGTCTGAATTCATTATTGAAAATTCAAGTCTACCTGTAATATCCATAAGTAATGCACATATCAGATAGTTATCACAAAACATTATAAGTACGCATAATAATTAAACATAATAAATCCCAAATTACACATTTAAAATGAAACTTCCTTATATGTCTAAAGTATGGCAACCTAAAGTACAACCATCACATGTGAGTAACAAAATCCTTCTTCTTATGATTTGACATAGACAAGAACATCTTCTTATAGCTTATACCATCTTCAAAAATCTTAATGACCCTTTGTGCATAAAGCTGCATCAATGTCCTCGAGAGAATTCAAAGCAGCCACACATTGTTCTACTAGATCATCATTATGCGTATTAGCCTCACTATCTCCACATGAAGTCGTTGTCATAGACGCACTAGACATCTTATAATCAATATACTTTGCCTTCTTCTTTGAACTTTTAACCAACACATTAAGGGCAGATGTAAGTGTTAGGCTATAGTTATCCTTCTTCCTACAACGACTGTTTGTTGGAGTGGTAGACCTACTTCAAGGATGGTTATTTGTCCCTTTCTCCACATTCTCCTCACCATCATCAACCTCAAGTGATGGATCAAAGGTAGGGTCTTTATGTTCCTCGTTGTCCGAAGGAGGTTGGGTGGATGGATGAGAATTATCACCGATTACAGTTGTCTTTTCATAAATTCTACACAACTTCTCGTAATGTGGACACATTTTCTCCTGAATTTTCTGGCATGCTTATTAATCTATATAAATGAAAATAATTAAAGGTTATCAATACTTATTAACCTAAAACCACTTGACATTGTGGTTAAAAATAAAAATGGATGGTAATCAATACTAAAACCTACCTTGCACAAACTCTTCCAAACCTCATCCTCTATGACAATGGTTTCCTTCATAGGGTCCCAACCAACTTCAGTTTGATTCAACAGTTTCTTGAAAGCATGGTAAACTGGTCTCAAATTATTAAACTTCCTTCGTAGTTGTTCATACGTGTAGTTGTACCCCCCGTGCTTAATCTCATGTTTGTAATGAGATTTTTTCACCCAACTTTGTTAAAATTAGTAATTGTTCTATTCCCCTATAAAACCCAAAAAATTTAAATTTTTATGAAATGGGCAAAACGGTAATTAGCCACTATGACATGGGTTAAAAATTCAAATTTTTTTAGAACTCAAATGATGCAAGTGACCTCACCATTGGATTCATCACACAAAATTTAGTTACTCAGTCAATTTTCGTTGAATTTTGAGACAGTCAAATTTTTCTCATTTTACGAGGCGATTGAGTATCGCGTGACCTAAATAAATGAGATAGAAAATTAAATTGTGAAAAGTAGAAAATAATTTAAATTTAGTTCAAATAAAAATATTTTGAACATGAACTAGGACGAAATTTAATTGATTTGGGATGAAATCAGACTCGAGAAAAGAGGACGTGTGGCACAATGAGAGCCAAGTATTCCCAGGAGTATAAATAAGGGGGAAAATCAGATTTTCTCCCCATTTGTTCAGCTGGATTTTTCAAAAAAGAGAGAGGGAAGACGAGAGAAAAAATCAAGGAATTCTTCAAGCTTCTCTCTATGATCTATGACTATACGTTCGTCGAATCAACTTGAGCTAAGAACTAAAATTCACCTACGCGACAAAGGCTAAACCTACATACCAAAAAGTATAGATTTTGATGAAGTTCAAAGAACAGGATTTTGAAAATCAAGGGCTAAGCTTGATTTGGATATTGGGAGATTTTTCTACCCCTTATTTTACGCTTCAAGAGGTAGGGTTCTTTTCCTAATTAGGTTTATTTTCAACCTAGGTTTCCATATGATATGGGTATCATGACTTGAGATGAATTCTCTTGTTTGGTGTACTTCTAGTGTAACTAGAGTATGAGAAATGGGGTGTAGAAATACACTAAATCAATCTTGCATGAATTGGGATTGTAAAATTTACTTGTTTGATAAATTCATGAGAAATGTGATAAATTGGATATGATTGTGTGTTACATGATTGTATATTTTTT